TAAGCTTCATCCTCACTCATTCCATTTTCAGTGTACCATCGAAATAAGGAACACAGGATGCCATGAACAGCACCTGGTAAAATGCCTACAAAACATCAAAGCATAAAATCAGGCGTCAAGCAGCAGGTGCAGAAATAAAATGTAGGGAACTACACTCACCCTGCTCCCTCAAGATATCACTCTTGTATTCCTGCTCTAGTGTAGTGGCAAATGTGAGAAGCGAACCAATGGCCACTGACAATGCCAAGGCAACATCTGTGGCTCTACCATCGATATCCTGTACATATGCATAGGAAAAAATAAACACCAGAAGAGTTGGTGAAATTAGGTAAGTACTGATGCACATCAACAGGGCTGGTGTGTGTGCATCTGGGTGGAGCTCATGGGTACATGCAACCCAAGAGAGAGAGGTAACCTGGTGGACTGCAAAACTAGAATTAATTCCAGCACCATTGATCTCTTTTCCTTGAACATAGAGTCTCCTTACAGAAGGACCTATTCCCTTAGGGCAAACAGTAATCACACCAATATTCTTTGGAAAATCAAGTTTCATTGACTGCAAATGCCCAAGATGAAATCCATCGGAAAGCCCAAGGATGCTGTTTGGCTTCATCTGGGAGAGAACCTTTTTATAGTCATCTGCCTGTTGAATGAAATAAAATAAAACTAGAATTTTTCAAAGGAGCAACACATAAAAACCACCGAGAAAGTAATGATTGACAAATACTAGACTAAAAAAAAAAAAAAAAAAAAAAAAAAAAAAAACAATACAGATAGTTCATAAAAAGAGAAAAAAAAAAGAAAAAGAAAAAGGAAGCCCAACTCTGATAGTCAACAGCTGCAAATAAGAATGGAATACAGATCATTCAGGAACTTGCTATTCGTTTTGATGCTAAATTAGCTGCAGTGATAAGAGGAAAAAACAAAAGGTAGAGATTGGTTTTGGCTAGCGCACTATCAGACATAATGGTGGAGGTTCAGGAGTTTGGTTTCTTTCAAATAATATCTGTGCTAACAACCGTTTGTAGGGTCCTCATAAAAATTTCAACACAGGAATGCATGGACCTCATCAGGAAAAGAAAAAAGAGCTAAGGTTGATCGGAAAAAAAGAGCTAAGGTTGATCAGCATTAACCTAATTTGGGGATCATTACCTATTCCCAGGGATAGTTTTATTGCCTGACTTGCAGCACATAACAGGCTATCTTCCAGGGTTTGAAAATTATACACAGGTAGGAATATTAATGCAGAATCATCTGTCCATCTCTCCTTACTGTAAAGATGTTTGGAGTGAAGTTCTGCAGAGTGTGGGTATTGAAGAAAACACTGGAGGATGGATGATGGGGTTTGATTGAGCCAAGACGGTCTGCGATAGAAGAATTTCCATGCTTTTGTTGCAAGACTACCAAGGAATGCTACAATCTATGGAATCTAGAGGCAATGAAACGAGAGAAAGCTCATTAACGGGATATTTTCTGCAATTTCTAGATACTGGATGTTTGTATGGGAACCCCTCTGTTTGATTGTACTTGGTGCTAGTTGTGATAGGAAACTTCCCAATATTTTCCTTTGATCAATGAAATTAAACAGCTGCAAAAGTATGGAATATATGAGAGAACAAATCAAATTTAAAGTTCTGTTTCATTAGCTCAAACTGGCCTTGAAGCAACCAACAAAGTTAAAACACTCGCAACAAATATCAGAGCCCTTACCTCCCTTTGGTATGTAGAAAAATACAAGGTGAAAAAGCAGCTAAAAATGTTTTGGAAAATAAATTTTTATCTTCAATCATCTCAGCTTGGGATGACATGCCAGAGCTTTCTTTTCCTTCTTCTCCTTCCCCCTCACAACATGAGCTCTCATCTAAAAAGTTAAAATAATACTTTCATTTGTCTAACCTAAATCTATCTCAGCAGACATGAATTGAATATTTCAACCAAAAACCTTGAGAAGTAGGAACTCAAAGAGCATAGTATGAACAAACCTGTGCTGCATCAGAAATCAATAGCAGCACTAGATCGCTTCCTGAAACAGTCTCACAAATATCACCTAAAGTGTCATTCTCTTCGGTAAAACCACAAGCACGTGCTTCGGCAAAAGAACAAGAGCCAGTCCTGAGGCCAATCTGTATCATATTCAGACAGGAGAAATTAATCATCAATGTCCAAGCAACTCGCTAAACAATTAAAAGCATAGATGACAGAACATAAGGGTGAATTGTGAATTACCTTGACTTTTATGTCAGACTTGGCTTCAGCAAGAGAATCCCTTAAATTCTGAGCTTGGGCAGCACCCTTATAATGAATGAGGAACTCTTAGCAACTTAAATCAACAGTCCACAGTAAAGGAGAGATTTACTAGGGTGGAGCAAAAGGGTTTTTTGGTTGCTTAAAGCCCAAACAATGAAAATCAACAGAAACAATTCTGTTATTGGAAATAAGACAATTTATAGATAATCTTAAGTCAGTCAAATTCTGTTTTTTTGCAAAGAGAGAGAGGCAATATTCACCTGGGAACCCCAAACAATGACACCAATCTGCTTAATCCCTTTGAATGCATCAGGCAACAAGTGAAACAAATCCCTTCCTCCTCTCACAATGTACTACAATACAGTACATACAAATCACCATCAATAACCATACTTTGAAAATTAATAAATAAGGCCTGTACTTGTTTTTGTTGCTCTAAAGAAACAATGAGATGTTAAAAAGAAGCTATATTGATATGACTTCTCTTCATTCTTCGCTAGTGCTCTTCCTAATTCATCCAATCACCAAATAGAAAAAAAAAAAAATTGATTATGAAATAAATAAATAAAGAAATAAAAATTGAAGTATGCATTCGATAGCCAAACGCGAAAGTGAAAACTATAGAAATGAAGCTATGAGTTAAACCAAATGAAATCAAACTGAAAAGATGTCAAAAAAGAAGAACAAAAAAGAAAGAAATGAATTGAAATACCTCATCTTGTCCACCGAGAGTGATCTTCTCCTCCTTAAAAACAGAGGTCTGACAATTAAGGGAAGTTAAAGGTTCCTTTTCACCTGGCTCCAAAACCCTTTTAGCTGTTCCACCACCAGCCCAAAAGGTACCAAACGTATCTCCTATCTTCTTGGGAATCGAAGAAACCATCCCGGATTCTGGTGCGGATTGCATAGACTTTCGAGTCACAGAAACATCACAATGAGCTTCACCTTGTGTTTCTTTTTCCTTGCCAGCTGGAGAGATTTTCTCCTTCTTACTAAATGAGGCACCAAGTTTACAAAGAAAACGAAGGATTCTCTTCAGACATCGATAAAACCTTCTTAGACCCACCTACATGAAGGTCAAGTGGCTTATGAATTAGGTTGCGGTTGTAGAGGAAAGATAGCAAAACGAAATGAATTGTGGTTGCAAGGTGATTTTTGTGATAATTTTAAGGAACTTGATGGGCCTGCTATGGAGGCAAGAGGGAAAGAAAAAGACTGCCGCCATTTTAACTGATAACCAATAAGCTAGTTAAACAGCTAACGAAAGTGGGGTGGGGTTTCTATTTATAGACCTGGTGGGTGGGTTTGGTGCCATTGTCCGCCTCGAGCGTTAATAATATCACGTGCGTTGCCACACGCTCAAGAACCACTTGCGATAATCAACATTTCCAGATGGGACGTATTGAAGCCAACCGACCTATCCATCTCTGGAATTTTCCAACTTTTAAAGGATGATAATTATAAATTATTCTTATTATGTTATTTTTATCTTAATTTAATCCCTTGGCATAAAAATCTTTTATTGAGTGATTTTATTTGGTATCAATTAACAATTGTACTAATGATTTTATTTGATACTTATCTATATGTATACGGTTATAATTATAATTTTTCCTTAAAAGCGTGACAAATCTCAAGCTTTCCTTTCATAGTTGATAAATTCAACTTTCCTGTCATAGTTGAGAAATTTTAAAATTCCATGAAATAAAGGATCACAAGAATCTTTATTTGAAGCCTTTACTCAGAACAAACGAGTTCATTTCTAGCTTTACTCGTTTGAATCACATTTGCCAAGCTAACTTGAAAAAAATGATCAAAGTGAGGAGGCATATCTGGTGTTTTTAATGTTAGAGGTAGATAGAATTTGATCTAATCTAGTATTAGAGATAGGATTATATCTTTTAGTATATATTCATCGTAAATTCATCAATACAATACACATTATGATCAAAAAAATTTATCTTATTAATATTTATTGAATAATAAAAAGCAAATCCAAAGAAAAGAGATGATAAATAGAAGAGAGAGTTAAAAAAAAAAGGTTTAAATAGAAATATTGCTATCAATTTTGATGAGTGGTTATGTAATTTTTTTTCTCTTTTTCTTTAGTATTTTAAAATTTCTTTTTAATAACTTTTAATTTTTCTATGATAACTTTTTAATACATTTTCAGCGAATTTTGAGAGTTTAGATTTTTTTTTGCTTTGGTTGTACGAATTCTGGATTTTTAATCATGATTTTGATCCTACGTAGCAATTCATCCTTGATGTATTTAAAAAAAAAATTTAGTTTTTTTTCTCCTATGAATTTATAAACCAGGTGGGTGCGTTGTTGTGCTATTGTGAACCTTGAGCGTAATACGCTACAAATTGTAATAATATCGCTTGCGTTGCCACACATTCAAGAACCACTTGCACATCACTGTTACCAGATAGACGTATTAAAGCCAACCGACTTATCTATCCCTAAGATCTTCCAACTTTTAAGGATGACAATTATAAATTATTATTATTATGTCATTTTTATCTCAATTTAGTCCCTCAGCAAAGAAATCTCTTATTGAGTGACTTTATTTAGTATCAACTAGCATATATATAATATTCTTATGTGTTCATTCATATAAAATACAAAATTTAAAAATAATTATGTAAAATGATCACACAAACTAAAAATTCAAAGTGAATTATACAACATTCTTATGTATTCTTTCATATAAAATACAAAATTTAAAAATAATTATTTAAAAGGATCATGCAAAAAAAAAAAAAAACCAAAACATATATCTTATATTTTGTCGTAAGGTTAGCTAAAAGAAAAGCCCGCAACAAAGTTGAGTAATATAATGTTGCTCATTAGATATTATTTGATATAAACATGTATTTTATTATAAATATATATAATAACTGGTAATTGAAAAATAATGTGGTAGTTTTTTGAATTTTAGATGATTAATTTTTATCATATATTCTTTATCCGTAATTTGTTAAAGAGATATAGAGATCACCCAAAACAAAAAGACAAAAAACTTTGTAAAATTGAGAATTTGACAAAAACAATAGAGATAAAATTACAAATGATCAAAATTAAATGATTAAAACAAACTAAAGATCATGAAAGAATGATAAAAAAAAAATTCACTAAAAGCAATATATATATATAACACAATAAGACTGTGAACAGTTTTACTAAAAGCCAAGAAAAAAAATATTTATTATAGGAAAAAAATCAAATATGATAAAATTTTAATATTTATTATAGGGACAAAAAATAAGAAATAATAAAATTTAAATGGCTAAAATAATAAAAGGTTACAAAACAGGAACTAAAATAAAAATAAAATTCGCTAAAAGCCAAAAGAGGGGCTTAAAAAATACCGAAAGAGAAAAAAATGATTTACTCTAGGAATAAAAATTAAATATAATAAAATTTTAATGATCAAAATAAAAAAGTTACAAAACAAGGACTAAAATAAAAATAAAATAAAAATTTAATTTTATTATAGGGACAAAAATGAAATAAAATAAAATTTTAATAACCACAATAAAAAAAATTACAAAAAAAGAATCAAAATAAAAATAAAATTCACTAAAAACCAAAAAAAGAGCTTAAAAATTATAGCAAGAGGAAAAAAAACTGATTTATTACAGAACTAAAAATCACATATAATAAAATTTTAATAACCATAATAAAAAAAATTACAAAAAAAGAATCAAAATAAAAATAAAATTCACTAAAAACCAAAAAAAGAGCTTAAAAATTATAGCAAGAGGAAAAAAAACTGATTTATTACAGAACTAAAAATCACATATAATAAAATTTTAATGATTAAAATAAAAAAATATAAAATAAGGACTAAAATGTAAAATTAATTTAAGCCAAAAGAGGTTTAAAGCAGCAAGCAAGAAAAAAAAAAAAAAAAAAGAGGCCTACAGGCAAGGTAAGGGAATGGGGAAAAAGAGGAAAGAGAGAGGAGAAAAAAAAAAACTTAGGCTATAGGCAAGGAACTTGAGCTATAGTACTTTAGGGTTTTGTTTTCCTTTTTTTTTTTTTTTGTAATTATAATTAACAGTTATACTAATGATTTTATTTGATGCATATTCGTGTACGTACGGTTATAACTATAATTTTTCCTTAAAAGCGTAACAAACTGAAGCTTTCCTCTCATAGTTGACAAAGTCAAACTTTTCTGTCATATTTAAGAAATTTTAAGATTTCATAAAACATAAGATGACAGGAATCTCCACTTGATGCCTCCACCAGATGCAGTAATAAAGTTCATAAAATCTATGGATCCAATCAGGCTTAAAATTCCTAGAATCTATAGACCCAACCAGGCTTTGGATCCTGGTAGCAACACATGACACCTTGAGGTTTCGGTCTCTTTTTTTGCAGCGTTATAGAGGTCGAAGGGCAAGTTAGTTATTTCGATGATTCGAGTAGTTAGTGTTAGTTAATTTAAAGATTAATGTTTCAAGATAGATCCTCAACTGTTTTATTTGCTTTAATTATATTTTTTAACTAAATGTTTTATTAATAACATCCATCAATGTTAATTTTTAGTCTTAATTGTGACATTTATTTTTTCTGTCTATTTTTTTTTTTTAAAAACAAATTCTGCAATGAAAAAATAAAAATCCCAAAACATCCCTATGGTAGAAAACCCGTGATCCTAACTTCAGTTTCAAATCTCCCCTTTCCTAACCCTAATTGTCGTAATTCCAAATCTCGTTTCAAAATTTTCCAAGAGACAAGTCACTGATGCGACAACAACTTGACCGTTTATGCACCACTTTCAGGTTTCAATTCAGGCGACTGGAAGAAGAAAAACAATTTTCTCCTCGATTTCGCTAGCACCCTCGATTTCTTGCCAGGTTTAAAATTCATGGCGGCGTCTGCAGAGATTAGCGACGGAGATCACGATGCTGTGGAGCTTATGGTGTGTCTGTGTGACGCTTCAGCATCAGCACCGGCACCTGATGAAATCAGTGGCGATGACTATCTGCTAAGAAGAGAGTGGTGGAGATACTGAAGTAGGCCACTTTCTTGCAGGTTCTGTCCACCAGGAGATCAGATCCGTACTTGACAGATTTTCAGAGCTCACAAGAGTTGTCATTGACTAAAATCCTTCAACCTAGAGGATAAGGGTTTCCCTATTTGATCCTTCCTTGTCATCCTTTTTCAGGAGATCTCTGGTAAGCACATGATTTCATGGTGATGCTTGAGACTTTTATAATGTTTATTTTCTTCTTACTGTGCTTAGAGGGCTGCAACACAGTTGATTCATACCATGTTTTTATCTTGTTCTATAAGAATTTAAGACTTGATAATGTTACAAATGACTTTTTGCTTGCATAATAGATGGCTGAATATAATGCACTTGTTGAAATGTGCGTTACTAATGGCATTGTAAGTGTTTATTATCTTGATTTAAATTCTTTTTGGAAGTTTTTTGATGATATGTATCTTTTTTAGAAAGTTTGGATAATTGATGAGAGTTGGCTTTTAATCTTTTGTGGTATATACTTGGATGTGTGTGTATTCGCATGAATCTCATGTTTTGAAAATGGTTGAACTCTTTCCAATTTGACCTTTATTTTTCTTGAAGGTGTATTGTCTTTGGCATTGGTAATATTAAGAAGAAAATGTCTTGCGGACTAAAAGACAAGTCCTAATTGATTGAAGAATACATTAATGGGTTTGTGCTGCAGCTCATGCGGACAAAAAAATGGAGTCTGGATTAATTGAAAAATCAAAGGGTTTGCACTGCTGTTTGTGGGAAAATGTGTGCTTGCACAGATGTAGGACTTACAAGGTGAGTGAAAAGAACTTTTAATTGCCGAAGTAGTGACGAGCAGTGGGGGATCATTTGAGGTTCTGTATTCTAGATCAATACATCACATTTGTATTTTAATATGCTGTTTAAGATTTGCCTCTCATTCTTCTTTATTAACTATGATCGCTCGTTGCTGAATATATTGAGGCAAAATCATTGGCTAAGGCTCACTGAATTGTGAATTGCAATAGAAGCAGATAGGCAAGTTGATGGAAATGTATAGATTGATTGAATATGAGTATGAAAGAGATGAAAAGAGAGGCAATTTATTTATTTAGTATATGGTCTTTAGCATCCCTATTCTCCACAATTTAAAGGTCTCTAGGACTAAAAGAGAGCGTACGATGGCCGGAATTAGTTGAAGATTACATCAAAGGGTTTAAACTGCTGGTTGTGGGCAAGTGTCCATGCACAAATGTTTAAGGGCAAAGATTTACCAAAAATTCAACCTATCAAGTTTTAATTAATATTTGAGTGGCTGAAATTATAAGAAAAGTTGGATGCTAAGGTCGAACCCCCTTGAAATCTTATATTAAATGCATTTGTTAATCTAAAGCTGAACCATTTATTTCTATATCTGAAGTTGACGTAATTATTCGTTTTTTTTTTTTCCAATTCTTTATAATATTATTGTTAAAACTATTTAGCTATGCATGATTGAGAAAGAAGAGCATAAAAAAAACATGTCTTTCTGTTGATTTTTTTGAATGTATACTCTCCGCTTGCTAAAAGTATTTTAACCCACCCATTTCCCTTCTCAATCCAACTACCCAGTATACTGGGGTGCTGTAGAGGAGTGTTTGATACGACATACGAAGAAACGCTATACGCTCCTTTTGAGGTTTCTCTCATTAAAATTCTTCTTTCTTGCAAGAAAATGGGTAGGCCTTTTGTTGTGGATGACAACAAGAAGGTGAGGCTGAAGGCAAAGAACCCAATTTGAGTCTGAAGTTTAAGTCTCTTTGAATCATTTGTTGCATTCATGAATATAGTTCCAAGCACAACCCCACCAAGTACTGCCTGTAGTATTCTTGGTGCAAAGAGCTGATTGGTTCTGCAAATGATATTGGAGAATCTCTGACCCAGTATTAAAACCTCCTTGAATCGACCATTGGAGTAAATAGTTTCTTCAATATTGCTGTATTGGTTAGGATTTCTTCTGATGTGCTCATAATCTTGTGCTACATCGGTATCTTCTATTTCACCTTCTTCACTATCTTCCATGCCCAGGGCTTCTGTCATTTCGATAGCAAACTCAAGCACATTAACATGCCTAGGAATGGAATGACCAGCAAATGTAAGCCGCTGCTCGAGGAGATGCAAGGAACCATGATGAAGAATAGTTCCATTTAATAACAACAGAATCTTATCAAATAGCTCAAGAATTTGGAAACCACGTTGATGGATGGTTAGTATGCTTGTTTTATCTTGCTTTATAGCCATAGATTTGAGCAACAAAACTATATGAAGAGCTGATGCTGAATCCAATCCAGATGTTGGTTCATCAATTAGAAGAATAGCCGGTTCATGAACTAGATCTACTCCTACAGAACTCTCACCGCTAGAAATGCCCCGGCTTGATTCACTGCCAATTCGCACATTTGCAACATACTCCAATCCAAGTTCCTTCAGTAGCTCGTTAACTCTAGCTGCAGCTGTATGTAGACTGCCTCGCAGCCTGAGGCGAGCACTGTACAAAACTTTTACCCTGCTTCATGGATTGTTGAAAAAAAGAAAAAAGAATGAAAACAAATGAACTGGAGATGTGTTCGAAAATTAGAAACATTTTCGTTTCCTCATTCCATTTGATGGAACCAAAAGAAACCTTTAAATGCTCATTTTACATCACATTCACATACAAAATTTAAGGAAGCACAGGAATGTCTGCAGACAAAGACATATCATACACGTGCAAAATATCGTTCTCCAGTAAAACCAGCACCACGGGCTTCAGCAAAAGAACAAGAATCCTTCCTCAGACCAACCTATATCATACAAAATGAGCATGGAATGTTATATAGTCAAGCCAGAGAAATTAATCATCCATGTCCATGGAACTTCCTAAACAGGTAAAAGTACCGAACTTAAGACTAAATTGTAAAAAATTACCTTGAATTTTATATCAGACATAGCTTCAGCAAGAGAATCACTTAAGTTCTGAGCTTGAACAGAACCCTTATAATGAATGAGGCTGGTTAGCAATTTATTCTAAGCAATCCACACAGAGACATAACACAAATGCATCAATGGACTAACTCCGAATTAACACACACACTCTGTTTCCAAAAGATTTTCAAGAATGGGAAAGAGGGGCTACAAGTTTCAATCTGCAAGCAGAGCGAAGACACACAAATTGGTTACTGCAAATTTAAGGCAACATGATCAGTTGCTATCACTTGTCATCTCCTTTGCACATATCTTGATAAATTTGACTAAAATCATTATTAAATTGTATTATTTTTTAATTTCCTCCAATATCCTAATACTAGATTTAATATAAATAGATTATTTTAATAGCATGATTTGATAATATGATATATATTTTTTTCTATACATACAGTTAACATCAAACAAATTCTAATGCTAAAGATGCTAGGTCTAAAATGGGATGATAGACAGGTAAATTCTAAACATGCTACCAACACAAATAAGATGATAGGTAGGTAGGTAAATAATATTTCATTACAAATATGTCAAATGGAATGATAAATATATGTAAATAATATCAACCGTCTTATTATATGTGAATTTCTTTCCACACGAACCATTGACATATGTCCATGGAAAGGAACTTCCCCATCAACTATTTTCCACCAAAATGCTTTATCATAATATTGTTTGGTTTTCCCTCCCTTTAACCACAACACACCAATTAGACAAGTTTATTCTATTCAAATGAAAGTTGAAAAAACTTGGAATGCTTTTATCATCTAACTGTACTTCTAAAGGGAGAACCATACCTTGACCATCACCAATGCCACAGAGACACCAGCAGTAAAACGACGGAAAGATCAGACTTGCTCAGCAACCTTCTACACGCTTGTGCTAAAAGGGTTAATTCTATTTTTTTTTTTTTTAGAAAAGAAACATATATATGAGGAAACTAAAATTTTAGTGGTATAAATGCAGAAACTTATAATAAGCATACTGATTTGAATGAACCATCATAATATGTTGATTGACTTGTTGCTTTCGTTGGTGGGCTGCGTTTGTGCATGTTTCGTAATTAGTTGCTGCTTGAAGGGTACATTTTAGGGTTTTCAATTCTGTGTAAATTTTAGGGTTTTCAATTCTGTCTAAATTTATCTCATGAGGTTAAAAACTTCTATATTTTTTTTTGACAGAATTTCATTGTTGCTGCACGATCAGCATATATATAAAAAGCAGTAGCATTTCCAGAGAGAAAAAAAAAAATCAAATTCGAAGCAAGGAGGTGAGTTGTGAAAGAATAATGGGTATTTAGAGAGATTGAATTGTGGAAATTCGGAGAAATTAGTGGGTCCTCTTCAACGTCCTCTTTGGTTTTGGATGCCATGGAGAAGCAAAGTGTGTGTTTTCCCATGTTGTGGAAGAAGCATGCCATGGAGAGCATAAATTAAAAAAAAGTTGGAAAGGTGAACAAAATGTTTGCATTTTAATGAAATTCTATTCAAATTAAAGAAGAAGTGTATTTATGGACAAGCAGCGTCCAAAAGTGAACAAAATGCCGCCATTGTGTATGGATAGAACTGCACTTTTAGAAGAGTCTTAATTATTGCAAGAAAAGGAATAAAAAAAGACACCAGAAAGTACAAATGCTACATCAAATAAGGGATTTTCAGGCATCGAGAGCATATGGCATAAGTCACATCTGGAAGAATCGAAAGGTACTGGTAGGTTTCAATTGGATAGAGACTTGGATGGCTACACGAACCGAGTATTATTATAAGTGTCATTAAAAATTCTCAAAACTCCCTTCTTTTTTTTTTTTTTTTTTAAGAACATAATAAAATTATGAGGAAATCTCACAAAAAGTTTATATTGATTAATTGAAAATTGACCAAAAAAGAACTTTTTTTTTTAAATAACCCATTTTATTTGATGAAGAGCTAAATATAAAATTAAAATTAACATTAAATACCGACATAATAAAAAGAAGAACATGAAATAAATAAATAAAAATACATCAGAAAGTTGTACTTTCACAACACAAATAACTTGAGCTTGATTTACGTTTTGAATAGGTTTGAAATAGAATTTTCAAAATAGATTTTTGACTTCAAAGAAGGTCTTTATCCTTTAGATGAATCTGTTTTTTGAATTGGACTTACGAACCCCTCAGAAATTTATTAATGGATTCAAGGAAGCTACAGAATTATGAGACTTCCATTGATGATCTCAAGAATCTGAGTGTCCTTTTCTCCCCAAGATTCCAATCTGAATTTGAAAGTGAGAAGCATCAATTGATAGAAGGAAATTGAAGACAATGAACTATCACCTCCTCCCCTATTCCCATTCTCTAGCTTGGTTTCTGGAAACCATTCTCTAGTTCTAGGGTAACACACCATTTTATCATCGAACTGTAGTTCAAATGGAAGAATCAACCTCCTACATAGACACCAACAGTAAAAGGACGGGAAGATCGGACTCAACAGCCACTAGAATTGAAACGTACAGAATGCATCACATAACTTTTACCTTTGCTTCATGGATAGTTAAAAAAGAAGAAGAAAAGATTGAAAACAAATGAACTGGAGATATGTTAGAAAATTGGAGACATTTTCCTTTCCTCATTCCATCTGATAGAACCTAAAGAAACCTTTAAAGAAGCTCAGTTTACATCACATGACTTCACATGCAAAATTTAAGGAAGCGCAAGAATGTCTGCAGACAAAGACATATCATAAATGTGCAGTCACTAATGGAAATTAACATACATACAGAAAAGTCGACTTTCAAATTTTAAACAATATAGAAACATGAGGAAGCAAATTGCTGTAGTAACAGTACATACAGAAAAGTGACCCTTGAAGATGGTCATAAGAAAGCAATTGCTAGCTATTGTAAGAGCATCAAAGAATGTAATACGAACTTGTATAGAACAGTCTTGTTTTCTCTCTTGTAAGTTATAACAGAGCAACATGGTTTGAATGACATGCCAGATCTTTCCCTTTTCTTTTGTTCCCCAAAGCAATCTATTCATTAATTTGTTTGGCCTAAATCTCAGTAGCCACAAATTGAAAGAAAATACAATAATAACAAACAGAAAAATGTAGACGCAAATTCAGAATTTCAACTACAAAATTAATTAACCAACCTGTGCAGCATCAGAAATCAATAGCAGCACCAGACCACTTCCAGAAATAGTTTCCCAGTTATCACCTAAAGTATCGTTCTCTTCAGTAAAACCAGCACCACGGGCTTCAACAGAAGAACAAGAATCCTTCCTAAGACCAACCTATATAATACAAAGTGAGCATGAAATGTTATATAGACAAGCCAGGGAAATTAATCATCCATGTCCATGGAACTTCCTAAACAGGTGAAAGTACTGAACTTAAGAGTGAATTGTAAAAAATTACCTTGACTTTTATATCAGACCTAGCTTCGGCAAGAGAATCCCTTAAGTTCTGAGCTTGAACAGAACCCTTATAATGAATGAGGCTGGTTAGCAATTTATTCTAAGCAATCCACACAGAGCCAAAAGAAAAATGAATCAATGGACTAACTCCGAATTAACACATTAAAGGAAACACCTATTATGAAAAGAAGCTAACAGACATCATCAATAACCAACGTTTCGAACAGAAATAAAAGAAAAACAAAACAGAAATCGAAAATCTGATGAAAAGAAAACAAATTAGAGAGAGAAACAATCTATTAGGAAGAAACCTAATTGCGACCTTCGATTATCAAACACTAAATTAAAATTTCTAATATTTGATTATAAAATTCTCAAAGTTGGGCTTTAAATTTAGAGAAGGAACTGAAAACAAGAGGATTTTTTTTTCTCTTTTTTAATAAAATGAAATGATGCAAAATGGAACACCTCATCGTGGCCATTGAGGATGATCTTCTCCTTGTTGAAAACAGAGGTCTTAAGATCAAGAGACGCCAGAGGCTTTGCCCTTGCCACCAAAACCTTTTCAACAGCAACAACTGAGCCACCATTGTTGTGACCAACATAGCCATCACCACGCCTTTTAGCAATACTAGCTATGATCAGTAGCACAACCACAAGAATGAAAATGATCCAAGGTATTAAATTGGGGAGGATTTTTGATGGAAAACCCAACCATGATGCAAGGAATTTTGATAATGCTCCAGCACTGACAAGAAAAGCTGAGACGTTGCAATGAAATGCAAATCGTGTCTCTCTTACATAGCCTGATGGGGAGATCTTTTTACTGCTTTCAAAGCAGGTATGAAGACCAGGAATTACAGTACGCGGTGGCGGTGACTCTATATTTGCTGTGCCGTCCCCCGCGCAATCGCCTCCTCCATCTCCACCAATACCATTACTATTTTTAAGCAGCTTCGTAAAATTTTTCAAGACATGTGCAAAGAGGATGACAAGTAACAGCCACTGACCATGTTGCAGATATCCGATGGAGTTAGATGATTTTGGAGGAGCGTTGAAGAAAGGGAGAGGAGCAGAGACGGTGCAGTGAGTTTCAAATCGTAATTCCTTTTCCTGACCACCGGCAGGGGAGATCTCTTCCTTCTTGCTGTAGGAGGTCCCGATGTCAAGAGAAAATGACGACGGTTTCTTATTATGATCAAAAAGGTGCCAACGCCATTTTTGTTTTAGAACGGAGAGTTGCAGCTAATGGCTTGGGTTTGAGTGGTACGAAGGATAAGCGAGTTAAATTGGTGTTGCATAGAGATTTTGGCAGCGGTTTTGGAGTAGAAGAAGATAAGTAAATGGCCGCCATTTCGGTGTAGAAAATGTAGCGGCTTTTTGAAATGGTTGGATGTTTGGTTGGGTTTATATATAAGCATAGACCCGCATGGTCTGTGTTTTCGGGCAAGGAAGCTACATATCCGAAACATAAGGACACGTGCCAACTCGAAACATAAGTATACGAGACGATGAAGTGAAGGGCACCAATCCGAAGATTCAAACTAATATCCGCTAATAACTGCACAGTTCCAAGAATCTGAGGACCCGACCCACCCCAACCCCAAATCTAATGTTTCAAACAGCATTGAATTTGTTGGCTTTGAATCCTGTAGTGACACATGCACCATGAGGTTTCCCTCTCTTTTTTCTGCGCCGTTTTAGAGACTAGAGGGCAAGTTAGTCATTTCATAGTTTTGAGTATTTAGTGGTACTGGTAATTTGATTTTTTACAATACAATAAAACAACCCTGCAAGTCTCTAATCTCTCGGTAAATCCATAGTCATCTTCTTCTTCTCCTCCCTTTGATGTATTTTTCTCTGTATTTGTTAAAGATTAAAAAAAAAAACTGGCGAATATTGGCCAATAAATTGATATCGTTGTTTTTTAATTGTTGAGTTGATTATTTTGGAGGTTGACTAATATTTATTATTCAATCTTTCTTTGCTATTTTTTCTTTTCTTTTTTTTTTTTTTTTTTTTGGGCTTATTGGGTTGCCGATTTGAAGGAGCTGAAGAAGAAGGCAGAAGAAGCTTGTAAAGATCGCCTCAGGCCTTGAGATGTTGATGTAGTAATAGTTGGCAGACGAGAGGATGGTTTTTATGGTGGCCCATGATTAATTTTGGGACATCTTGCTGTAGCGAGTGCAGTCCTGGAATTCCTCTGATTTATGGCAGGATGAAGGATGTTTTTATGATGACTACCTACAAAGAAGAGTGGTGGAGATACTGAAGTCGGCCACTTTCTTGCAGGCTCTGTCCACACGAGGACATCAGATCCATACTTGACAAATTTTTAGAGCTCACAAGAGTTGTCATTGAACTCAAATCTCTCAACCTAGAGGATAAGGGTTTCTTTATTTGATCCTTCTTTGTCATCTTTTTTCAGGAGATCTCTGGTAAGCACTGATTTCTTGGTGATGGATGTGACATTTATAATGTATATTTCTTCTTACTGTGCTTAGAGGGCGGTGATACAGTTGATTCATAGCATGTTTTTATCTTGATTATGTTACAAATGACTTTTTCCTTGCATAATTGATGGCTGAATATAACGCACTTGTTGAAATGTATGTTACTGATGGCCTGGTAAGTGTTTATTATCTTGATTTAAATTCTTTTTGGAAGTTTTTTGATTATATCTTTTTCAGAAAGTTTGAATAATTGATGGGAGTTGGCTTTTAGTCTTTTGCGGTAAATACTTGGATGTGTGTGTATTTGCATGAATCTCATGTTTTGAAAATGGTTGAACTCTTTCCAATTTAATTTTTATTTTTCTTGAAGGCGTATAGTCTTTCGCATTGGTAATATTAAGAAGAAAATGTCTCGTGGAATAAAAGACAAGTCCAAATTGATTGAAGAATACATTATTGGATTAATTGAAGAAATCAAAGGGTTTGTTGGAAATTGTGTGCTTGCACTGATGTAGGACTTCCAAGGTGAGTGAAAAGAAATTTTAATTGTGGAAGTAGTGAAGAGCATTAGGGGATCATTTGAGGCTGCGTATTCTCAATCAGTACATTACATTTGTAGCTTAATAAGCTGTTTAAACTTTGCCTCTCATTCTTCTGTATTGAATATGATTGCTCGTTGCTTAATATATTCAGTCAAAATCCTTGGTTAAGGCTTACTGAAGTATGAATTGCAATAGAAACAGATAGGCAAGTTGCTGGAAATGGATAGTTGGAGGGAGTATGAGTATGAAAGAGATGAAGATTGATTAGGAGCAGATTTGTTCCAGGAATAAAGCACGATTGGGAGGTTTTGTATTTCTTTTGAGGGAATAGGAGGGAAAAAGAAGAGTTAAAAAAACTTTAGATACTGAAGATTTATCATAAAACTTGTACACATTGGAAGTAAATTAAGTTAGAATAGAAAAAATGGGATATTTGTTGACTTTAATGCTTGGTTGGGATTTGGGTCCCAGGTAGCCCGCACCACAGTTTTACCTCTAGTATGGTCCCCATCTACCTGCCTAATATTTTGGCAGAGACCAAGCAATGAAGATGAACTAGGTAAAAGTTTAAGGTAAAAGATTAACCAAAAATTCTGGCATTGATCTTTCATCCATATAAGTCATAATTAATATTTGAGCGGCTGAAATTGTAAGATTGAATGTTAAGGTTGAATCGCATTGAAATTATAGGAAAATGTCTCTTAGATTAGAAGAGAGATTATCGGGTCTTAATTAACTGAAGAATGCATTGAATGGAAATTACACTTACAGGCACACTAGCAGGCAAAACAAGCACATTCAATACCATAATATAAAAGCATTTATGGAGTCCAAGGTTATTTTTTTCTGGTGACTCTAGCTCTAGTCTACCAAACATCCACTTACCATAGAATTAAACCAACATCCTTCCCTAGTTTGTGACAGTACTGGCCATGGAACCTTGTTCTTGGAACTCAACAAACATTTAAGGCTTTCATTTTGAGAGATTAAATGATGGGTTTATTGTGAATTCTGGGTTACAATCCAAAACCAGAAATGGTTTTGTTCAACTTCCTTTTTGGTTTTGGATAATGAAAGAGGAGAGCTTGTGGAGGCTACTGTTAGAGTGGAGAGAAAGGGTTGTCTGCAGAGAGGAGCGTTGCTGCTTTTGGAAATCATAGTGAGGTAGAGAAAAAACAATAGAGCCAGGATTGCATCTTGATACACTTAGGAGCCTAGTACCTGGTACTGATAAGGCTTTTCTTATTGGGTTGAAACAGTTATTAAAGCATTCTCTCTCTATCTTTTTTTTCCCTAATTTTGTTTCTTAAAGTTTCAGAATAAAATTTAATGAATCATCTTGATACGCTTATGACATTTTTAATCACTTGGTAAGGTCTGTACTAACTTAGAAATTTATGAATCCCGTTAAGAACCTTATATCACAAGTCAAGTTCAATGGCAGGGAAATTTTAGAAGTATGCATTTCTTGTTGTGATTCTGGTCGATGTTATTGTTGTATGAGCATGCATTACCAGAGCAGTGATAATATCTTGAAACTTTGGTTTAAACTTTATAAGAATCAGATAATTTATTTTAGCTTTAAACTTTTGTTGGTGAATTTACTTGAGTTGTTTGGATAAGGATGGTTGATTAAGCTATGCTGCTATAATTTGCTTGGTGATCAGTTCGTTCTGTAATTTTCCTTAACATATATATTACCTGTTAGAATTTTCTGGTAATTGATGTCATTACTTCTCAATTGAAATTGATCATAAATCGAGTGTATGTGATATTATTTAAGGACTATTTGATAAACAAAATCCTGAAATTTATATAAACTTGGTTTTGAAAGAGCAGGATGTTATAATTGTTAATTTTTCCAGATCATGTGCTTGTTGGATTTGGTTGCTGAATTATTAATTTGAACTTTCACACAGACAATGCATCATTGCTTGCTAAGGTTATTAGCCACTTGAAGGAGCTGAACTGGAAGCCAGCAGAAGCTGATGAAGGTTTTCTTATACGGTTGAATGTTGATGAAGCAAAAGGTGTACAACGAGAGGATGGTTTGCATGATGCCCTTTATTTAATTAAGGCTTCTAGATGTTGCGATTACTAGTCTGGAATGCTGTCCAATTTAAGACAAGCACTTGATGCTCTCCATATGATAATAATGAGGGCAGAGATTCTGATGGGAAGGCAGGGGGAAGAATGTTTTTGTGATGACCAGCTGAAAAGAAGGACACAGAGAAGGTACTGAAGTAAACCAGTTTCTTGCAGGCTCTGTCTGGGAGACCATAAAATCCATACTTGACAAATTTTCTGCCTCAGAAGATTTCAGATTAAAATCCACATTTCGAAGAAGAGGAGAAAGGTTTCTCCATTCAAACCATCCTTGTCATCTTCTTCAGCAAATCTTTGGTGAGCCTATTGTTTTTTAGCATCGATCATTCATCCACGTAAGCCTTAATTAATATTTGAGCAGCTGAAATTGTATGATTGAATGTTAAGGTTGAATCGCATTAAAATTATAGGAAAATGTCTCTTAGACTGGATGAGAGTGATAATCAGGTCTTAATTAACTGAAGAATACAATGAATAGAAGTTACCCTTACAGGCACACCAGTAGGCAAAACAAGCATATTCAATACCATAATATAAAAGCATTATGGAGTTCAAGATTGATTTTTTGGTCACTCTAGCTCAAGTCTACCAAACATCCACTTACCAAGAGTTAAACCAATATCCTTCTCTAGTTTGGGACTAGTACGGCTATGGAACCTTGTTCTTGGAACTCAACAAGCATGTGAGGGTTTGATTTTGAAGAGATTAAATGATGGGTTTATGGTGAATTCTGCGTTACAAGCCAGAACCAGAAATGGTCTTGTTCAACTTCCCCTTTGATTTTGGATAAGGAAAGAGGAGAGCTTGTGGAGGCTACTGTTAGAGTGGAGAGAAAAGGGCTGTCTGCAGAGAGTAGCATTGCTGCTTTCGAAAATCATAGTGAGGCAGGGAAGAAACAATAGAGCCAGGATTACATCTTGATACACTTAGGAGCCTAGTACCTGGTACTGACAAGTTTTTTGTTGTTGGGTTGATTACGTTGAAGCTTGAATTGAAACAGTTCTTAAAGCATTCTCTCTTTTTTTCTTCTTTTTTTTTAATGAATTTTGTTTCTTAAAGTTTGAGAATAAAATTTAGTGAATCATTAGGTAATGCACTTGAAAATAACATTATTTCTGATAACATTTAATTTTGTTATTAAAGTGTTAGATAATGCTACAAAGGTCTGTACTAACTTTGGAATTCATGATTCCAATTAAGAACCTTATATTACAAGTCAAGTTGTCAGGGAAATTTTAGAAGTAGACATTTTTTGTTGTGTTTCTGGTTGATGTTATTGCTGTAGGAGCAGGTATTACCAGAGCAGTGATAATATCTTGAAACTTTGTTTAAACTTTATAAGAATCTGATAATTTATTTTAGGTTTTTGTGCTACTTTTGTTGGTAAATTTAATTGAGTTGTTTGGATAAGGATGATTGATTAAGCTATGCTGCTATGGTTTGCTTTGTGATCAGTTAATTCTGTAATTTTCCTCGACATAAATCAAGTCCATGTGATATTATTTAAGGATTATTTGATGAACAAAATCCTGAAATTTATATAAACTTCTTTGGTTTTGGAAGAGCTGGATGTTATAATTGCTTTCAACTTTTCCAGCTCATGGCTTGTTGGCTTGGGTTGCTGAATTATTAATTTGAACTTTCACGAAGACAATGCATCATGTTCAACTCCCCCAATGGTTGTATGTAATGAAAGAGGAGGCTACTGTTAGAGTCAGAGAGAAGCATTGCTTTTCTGAGAAATCTTAGCAAGGCAAAGAGGAAACCCAGAGCTACACTTAGGAACCTACTGCCTGGTACTAATAAGGTGATTGTTGATGTTTGAGTTTAATCACTGTTCTTAAAGGCTTCTTCTTCCTCTCTTTTTTTTTTTTTATGAATTTTGTTTCTTAAAGCTACAGAATAAAATTTAGTAAACCATTAGGTAATGCACTTGAACGTGAAATTGTTGCAGAGTGTTTGACAATTGCCAGTTATGTTTGTACTAAGTTTTGAGATATGGCAATCTTCAAGAATCGTATATATTTACAATTCAAGTTTGACTTCAGGTTGGGGCATGCATTTTTGTTTTTCAGGTTGATGTTGTATGAGGATGCTTTACCAGAGAAAGGGAAGTATCAGGAAGTTGTATTTTCAGAGTAGGAGCAATCCAAGCTTGATTTTGATGCAATCATTTATAAATTGTTGGAATTGCTGGAAATAAGAGGCAAGTCAATCAGCAGAGCTGGCAGCTTAGCTGGCAAATATGCAAGCTGGCAATTATGTGAGCTGGCACTAGCAGTTCTAATTGTTAGTCAATAGTATAGTTACCAGAATTTCTCTCTCTTATCTTCTACAGTTTCTTCCCTCTATAATTCTTCTTCTTTCCATTCATGGACATGGCTACTATTCAAGAATTGTTTTCATTGATCACGTTTAATAATTCAATAGCTATGGTTCCAACTCATTCACGTTTAAAAATTTACACGCGGCAAAAAATTCAAACGCCATGAGAAAAATTATGATAATTTATCATCATGAGGGAATTATGATAATTTGTTTTGAATTCCATAATAATTTTTTCAAACAAAATTTTAATTCAATATCATTTTTTATGTCTCTACTATTCACATAATAAATAATTTTCTTGTTATCATTGTAGATAAAGTGATGACATGAATTAATCTATTTCATCATTAGCATTCACAATTTATTTCTCATGGCCAAACGATCAACAAATATATATATATATATATATATATATATATATATCACATTTTTATTTCCACATAAAAACTAATATATAAAAACCCTTTTTAAATCATTTATCTTACTAATATTCTGCTAACAAGATTATTATTTTTACAATTATTTATATTGTCATCATTGAATATGATTGTCAAACATAAATTATAATGACAACTTCAAAAGTTGTCACATAAAAATAATTAATATTCAAAACACATTTCATTTTCATTATATTAATATGTGACCTTTCAAGTTTTAATAAATTAATTATAATTCTATTTCATCATGAGAGAATTATGATAATTTATCTTGAATTCCATAATAATTGTTTCAAACAAAATTTTAATCCAATAGCATCTTTTATGCCCTTAATATTCACATAATAAATAATTTTCTTATTATCATTGTGGACAAAGTGATGACATAAATTATTCTATTTCATCATCAGCATTCACAATTTATTTCTCATGGTCAAACAATCAACAAATATATATATATATATATAACAAATTTTTATTTCCACATAAAAAATAATATATAAAAGCCCTTTTTAAATCATGTATCTTATCAATTAATCTTATTAATAATCTGGTAACAAGATTATCATTTTCATAATTATTTATATTGTCATCATAGAATATGATTGTCAAACATAAATTATAATGAGAACTTCAAAAGTAGTCACATAAAAATAATTAATATTCAAAACACATTTCATTTTCATTATGTTAATATGTGACCTTTCAAGTTTTAATAAATTAATCATGTGAACTAACATTAATTCAATAACAAAAATCTATATGATAATTCACATTTCTTCTTGTGCTTTTTTTTTTTTTTTTTTTTGAAGCATGATTGATAAATTTTTTTAAAAAAAACTCAAGTATGGACCAATAAATATTCATAAGAGAATCAAAAATTACTTGCAATCATAAATATCACATACTTCATCGTCAAAAGTTAATCTCAAATTAATATCTAGGGTAAAAAAAAATTTAATAATTCAACATTTAAAATATTTACTTGACTTTTTATACTTATCATAAAGTAAGTACCATTGGAGACTTGAATTACCTTTTATATTAACAAAGTTCTCATTGCCTGTAATGCCACATCATTTTGGTTTCCTTAACTTTGCATTCAATATGATTAATATATCTATATAAAAATGTTGAATATATACTCTTTTTTTCATTGGCTTCTCATTTTTTTCAATAACATGACATCAACATAACAGTTAATTTCAACGTCAATTATAATTGACCAACATAAATAAATTTATAAATTAATTCTTTTTTTTTTATCAACCATAAAATTCACAAAAATAAATCAATATTATGGTTAATATCACAAATATTAATTTTCAAAATTATCAATATCCTTGACCTTGAATAATAATATTTGATAGGTAATTATAAGTTACAAAATATATCACATATCAATATGTAAATAATCTCATAAATATGCACATAAAATATATTAGCAGAAAATAATATTTATTTTTCATATGATCTTGGTATCTCATTAGCCACATGGTAGTGATAATTTCATTATTATTATTTTTTCAAGAGCAACACAATCATACGAACAAAGGACTGACATAAAAATAAATTTATTGTCTTTAAAGCTCAACAAAATAAAGAATTAATAATATATGTATATTATCACATATAAGGAATTATCAATTCACCCATAATAATATATAGTCTGGATGTAAGAGTAAAATAAGAGAATAAATGAAATGATTTTTTTATCAAATCCGGACATAATAAGAACAAGTATTGTAAATAAATAAAAATATATATAAGAAAGTTGTATTTTTAGAACACGAATAAATCAGAGCTTGATTTACATGTCGAATGGCAAGAAAGGTTTAGAATAGAATTTTCAAAGTGGGTTTTTAACTTCGAATATGGGCTTTAAACTATAGATAAATTAGTTTTATGAATTAGATTTATAAATTCTAACACGTGGTGCTCGATTGGAGTACCATTATTTCCTGCTATCTTTGTCTGCCGTCAGGTGAAGATATCAGGATATGGATAAAACAAAGAGCCCATTTCTCCGATCTCAATCTTATTGTAGTTTAATGAGTAATCCCAGCAGATGCAGCTGGTAGCCTTATTTTGAGGTTCTCTCATTAAATTCAGCCTCATCTTCTTGTTTTCCTCCACAAAAAAACCCAATTTGAGTCTGAAGTTTGTGTCTTTGGATCATTAGTTGCATGCATAAATATAGTTCCAAGCGCAATCCCAGCAGATGCAGCTGGTAGCCATGTACTATTATCGCTATGTTCTAGTTCACCTTCTATGGACATGGATTCTTTCATTTCCGTCGCAGACTCATGCACATTAACATGCCTAGGAATGGGAATGGATCAAATATCTCCCTCCTCTGAAAATGTATTCCACAATATACAATTCCTAACTAAATAAATAAATAAGAGAGCAACAAAGGGTATGAAGCCCATCTCTACTTTTTGTTACTAGAAAGAAACCAATGGTGGAAATATGAGCTGAAATTGTGGTTTAATGCGAAAGAAAGTGACTTCTCTTCAATTTTCTCTTCCTTTCTTCCCTTTAAAAAAAAAAAAAAAAAAAAAAGCAGTAGAAAAATTGGGAGAGTACCAAACACTGCGAATATCAAAAGAAACAAGCCTTAAAGAATCTTTTGTTTTGGTACCTTATAAATCCAAATACCACATCACAATGAGCTATAAAACTACTCTCCTGCTTAGAACAAGCTTCGCCTCAATATAGATAAAGAGTTCTCCTACATGGATCAAGCTAAGGGTTCTACGGATCTTAGTTGCTAGATTGGCCTAACTCAGGTCGCACAGAGCCAATATCTGATGGCACTCCAGTGCTGACGGTGGAGGTCAATTGGTCGTAGACTTCAATGGCTCTATGCACAGGATCTGATATTAAGTTACTGATGAGATCATGGTTGATAGGAGCACCATTGTCCACCGCCACCAATGCTCGCTGGTTGAGAAAATAGTCAAAAAGATGAGCCCATTTCCTTGATTCCAATGTTGCTGTGGCAGAGCAGTTATCAAGCATATAAGGAGCTTCAAGGGCATGCATAAGGGAATACAGGGAATCCACAGACTCTATCACAGATCCATGGATTATTGCAGAGTATGATAGCCCTTTCTTCCTCAAAATTTCAACCTGAAGTTTAAAAGAAAGATGCATCACAAATTAGCCCAAGGAAAATTCAAGACACTAAACACCATTTACTAACAATCTCTTTAACTAGTCCCAACTTCCAACAGACCAAATTTAATGTCTTTCACAAAAACAAACTAACTAAAAATCTAATTTCCAACTTTAAAAATCAAATCAAGATAGTTCTGCATTTATCATACTACTACAACTAAAGTGAAGAATCATACCCAGGCCATCTTTAATGCCATAAAGACACCACAAGTGAAAGGATGCAGTGGAACTAAGCTCCCTCTTGGCTGGCCAGATCGGACTAGTTCACCAACAATCCAAGCACGTGTTTGATCAATTTTACTCGTTGGAAAAGCTACCAGACCATCCTTTTCCTATAGAAAGAATAAGTAAAATGAACATCAGTACAATACATTACGTAGAACATATTTCAAGACATCTCATCAACAGGTCAAAGAAAGATCATAAACTTCAACACAGCAGAAGACCATAACAATGAAGACCATAACAACGAATGAATTCATAAATAAAGAATATTTTTGCATCACATATTAGTATGCCACAGCAAAAAGATGATAATATGAACATACATGAAAGAGAAGCGGATTCCCAGCAAGGAGAACACTACTCATCCCACTACCACAGGCTACACCATTATAGCAGTCATGTAAGATGGCAAAGCAGGAATGATATGAGGCGCTGTATGCAATCTCAAATTCCCTTTTGCCTTCTTCAGATAAGGAACTGTATACATCCAGCATTCCCTGTTACAACATAGAAATGTGAACAATTAAGCCATCAATGCCTTACCCCATTAATTAAATAAAAGTAATACAAGCATATTGTACTGAGGACATGCAGGGAAATATGAATTCCGAGTTTTAGGTCCCAGTACCTTGGTTGATACAGCCTTGGATATAATTCCTGTTATGCACTCAACAGTGCTCTCGTAAGCTTCATCCTCACTCATTCCATTTTCAGTGTACCATCGAAATAAGGAACACAGGATGCCATGAACAGCACCTGGTAAAATGCCTACAAAACATCAAAGCATAAAATCAGGCGTCAAGCAGCAGGTGCAGAAATAAAATGTAGGGAACTACACTCACCCTGCTCCCTCAAGATAGCACTCTTGTATTCCTGCTCTAGTGTAGTGGCAAATATGAGAAGCGAACCAATGGCCACTGACAATGCCAAGGCAACATCTGTGGCTCTACCATCGATATCCTGTACGTATGCATAGGAAAAAATAAATAACAGAAGAGTTGGTGAAATTAGGTAAGTACTGATGCACATCAACAGGGCTGGTGTGTGTGCATCTGGGTGGAGCTCATGGGTACATGCAACCCAAGAGAGAGAGGTAACCTGGTGGACTGCAAAACTAGAATTAATTCCAGCACCATTGATCTCTTTTCCTTGAACATAGAGTCTCCTTACAGAAGGACCTATTCCCTTAGGGCAAACAGTAATCACACCAATGTTCTTTGGAAAATCAAGTTTCATTGACTGCAAATGCCCAAGATGAAATCCATCGGAAAGCCCAAGGATGCTGTTTGGCTTCATCTGGGAGAGAACTTTTTTATAGTCATCTGCCTGTTGAATGAAATAAAATAAAACTAGAATTTTTCAAAGGAGCAACACATAAAAACCACCGAGAAAGTAATGATTGACAAATACTAGACTAAAAAAAAAAAAAAAAAAAAAAAAAAAAAAAAAAAAACAATACAGATAGTTCATAAAAAGAGAAAAAAAAAAGAAAAAGAAAAAGGAAGCCCAACTCTGATAGTCAACAGCTGCAAATAAGAATGGAATACAGATCATTCAGGAACTTGCTATTCGTTTTGATGCTAAATTAGCTGCAGTGATAAGAGGAAAAAAAAAAAGGTAGAGATTGGTTTTGGCTAGCGCACTATCAGACATAATGGTGGAGGTTCAGGAGTTTGGTTTCTTTCAAATAATATCTGTGCTAACAACCGTTTGTAGGGTCCTCATAAAAATTTCAACACAGGAATGCATGGACCTCATCAGGAAAAGAAAAAAGAGCTAAGGTTGATCGGAAAAAAGAGCTAAGGTTGATCAGCATTAACCTAATTTGGGGATCATTACCTATTCCCAGGGATAGTTTTATTGCCTGACTTGCAGCACATAACAGGCTATCTTCCAGGGTTTGAAAATTATACACAGGTAGGAATATTAATGCAGAATCATCTGTCCATCTCTCCTTACTGTAAAGATGTTTGGAGTGAAGTTCTGCAGAGTGTGGGTATTGAAGAAACACTGGAGGATGGATGATGGGGTTTGATTGAGCCAAGACGGTCTGCGATAGAAGAATTTCCATGCTTTTGTCGCAAGACTACCAAGGAATGCTACAATCTATGGAATCTAGAGGCAATGAAACGAAAGAAAGCTCATTAACTGGATATTTTCTGCAATTTCTAGATACTGGATGTTTGTATGGGAACCCCTCTGTTTGATTGTACTTGGTGCTAGTTGTGATAGGAAACTTCCCAATATTTTCCTTTGATCAATGAAATTAAACAACTGCAAAAGTATGGAATATATGAGAGAACAAATTAAATTTAAAGTTCTGTTTCATTAGCTCAAACTGGCCTTGAAGCAACCAACAAAGTTAAAACACTCGCAACAAATATCAGAGCCCTTACCTCCCTTTGGTATGTAGAAAAATACAAGGTGAAAAAGCAGCTAAAAATGTTTTGGAAAATAAATTTTTATCTTCAATCATCTCAGCTTGGGATGACATGCCAGAGCTTTCTTTTCCTTCTTCTCCTTCCCCCTCACAACATGAGCTTTCATCTAAAAAGTTAAAATAATACTTTCATTTGTCTAACCTAAATCTATCTCAGCAGACATGAATTGAATATTTCAACCAAAAACCTTGAGAAGTAGGAACTCAAAGAGCATAGTATGAACAAACCTGTGCTGCATCAGAAATCAATAGCAGCACTAGATCGCTTCCTGAAACAGTCTCACAAATATCACCTAAAGTGTCATTCTCTTCGGTAAAACCACAAGCATGTGCTTCAGCAAAAGAACGAGAGCCAGTCCTGAGGCCAATCTGTATCATATTCAGACAGGAGAAATTAATCATCAATGTCCAAACAACTCGCTAAACAATTAAAAGCATAGATGACAGAACATAAGGGTGAATTGTGAATTACCTTGACTTTTATGTCAGACTTGGCTTCAGCAAGAGAATCCCTTAAATTCTGAGCTTGGGCAGCACCCTTATAATGAATGAGGAACTCTTAGCAACTTAAATCAACAGTCCACAGTAAAGGAGAGATTTACTAGGGGCGGAGCAAAAGGGTTTTTTGGTTGCTTAAAGCCCAAACAATGAAAATCAACAGAAACAATTCTGTTATTGGAAATAAGACAATTTATAGATAATCTTAAGTCAGTCAAATTCTGTTTTTTTGCAAAGAGAGAGAGGCAATATTCACCTGGGAACCCCAAACAATGACACCAATCTGCTTAATCCCTTTGAATGCATCAGGCAACAAGTGAAACAAATCCCTTCCTCCTCTCACAATGTACTACAATACAGTACATACAAATCACCATCAATAACCATACTTTGAAAATTAATAAATAAGGCCTGTACTTGTTTTTGTTGCTCTAAAGAAACAATGAGATGTTAAAAAGAAGCTATATTGATATGACTTCTCTTCATTCTTCGCTAGTGCTCTTCCTAATTCATCCAATCACCAAATAGAAAAAAAAAAAATTGATTATGAAATAAATAAATAAAGAAATAAAAATTGAAGTATGCATTCGATAGCCAAACGCGAAAGTGAAAACTATAGAAATGAAGCTATGAGTTAAACCAAATGAAATCAAACTGAAAAGATGTCAAAAAAAGAAGAACAAAAAAGAAAGAAATGAATTGAAATACCTCATCTTGTCCACCGAGAGTGATCTTCTCCTCCTTAAAAACAGAGGTCTGACAATTAAGGGAAGTTAAAGGTTCCTTTTCACCTGGCTCCAAAACCCTTTTAGCTGTTCCACCACCAGCCCAAAAGGTACCAAACGTATCTCCTATCTTCTTGGGAATCGAAGAAACCATCCCGGATTCTGGTGCGGATTGCATAGACTTTCGAGTCACAGAAACATCACAATGAGCTTCACCTTGTGTTTCTTTTTCCTTGCCAGCTGGAGAGATTTTCTCCTTCTTACTAAATGAGGCACCAAGTTTCAAAGAAAACGAAGGATTCTCTTCAGACATCGATAAAACCTTCTTAGACCCACCTACATGAAGGTCAAGTGGCTTATGAATTAGGTTGCGGTTGTAGAGGAAAGATGCAAAACGAAATGAATTGTGGTTGCAAGGTGATTTTTGTGATAATTTTAAGGAACTTGATGGGCCTGCTATGGAGGCAAGAGGGGAAGAAAAAGACGCCGCCATTTTAACTGATAACCAATAAGCTAGTTAAAAGCTAACGAAATGGGGTGGGGTTTCTATTTATAGACCTGGTGGGTGGGGTTTGGTGCCATTGTCCGCCTCGAGCGTTAATAATATCACGTGCGTTGCCACACGCTCAAGAACCACTTGCGTAATCAACATTTCCAGAGGGACGTATTGAAGCCAACCGACCTATCCATCTCTAGAATTTTCCAACTTTTAAAGGATGATAATTATAAATTATTCTTATTATGTTATTTTTATCTTAATTTAATCCCTTGGCATAAAAATCTTTTATTGAGTGATTTTATTTGGTATCAATTAACAATTGTACTAATGATTTTATTTGATACTTATCTATATGTATACGGTTATAATTATAATTTTTTCTTAAAAGCGTGACAAACTCAAGCTTTCCTTTCATGGTTGATAAATTCAACTTTCCTGTCATAGTTGAGAAATTTTAAAATTCCATGAAATAAAGGATCACATGAATCTTTATTTGAAGCCTTTACTAGAACAAACGAGTTCTTTTCCAACTTTACTCGTTTGAATCACATTTGCCAAGCTAACTTGAAAAAAAGATCAAAGTGAGGAGGCATATCTGGTGTTTTTAATGTTAGAGGTAGATAGAATTTGATCTAATCTGGTATTAGAGATAGGATTATATCTTTTAGTATATATTCATCGTAAATTCATCAATACAATACACATTATGATCAAAAAAATTTATCTTATTAATATTTATTGAATAACAAAAAGTATATCCAAAGAAAAGAGATGATAAATAGAAGAGAGAATTAAAAAAAAAGGTGTAAATAGAAGTATCGCTATAAATTTTGATGAGTGGTTATGTAATTTTTTCTCTTTTTTCTTAAGCATTTTAAAATTCTCTTTAATAACTTTTGACTTTTCAATGATAATTTTTTGATACATTTTCAATGAATTTTGAGAGTTTGGATTTTTTTTTCTTTGATTGTATGAATTTTGGATTTTTAATTATGATTTCGATCGCTACATAGCAATTCATCCTTGATATATTTATATAAAAGCTACGGGCATGCCAGTCACCCACAATTCAGCTTTTACAGAATTTATTCTTTAACATAAAGGAATTAAAAAGAAAAAAATGAAAAACCCATGAAAGCCCTTCCTATTGACCTTTGAATGAAGTGCACCAATCTCAAACGTCAATGTAAGATACAATAATGAAGTTTTTAAAATCTATGGACCCAACCCAACCCCAAATCTATATATCCGAAACCGAAGGACTTCGAATAATTTGAAACATAAGTAACAACACAGTTCTAATATCTATGGACCCAACCAAACCCTAAATCTCTAATCTCTCAGTCATCTTCGTTTTTGGAGACTTTAAATTTGTTGGCTTTGGATCCTGATAGCGAAACATGGCATCATGAGTTTTCAATCTCTTTCTTTGCAGTGTTATAGGAGATGGAGGGGTAAGTTAGTCATTTTGATGTTTCAAGTAGTCAGTGTTACTTAATTTGAGGATCAAAAGAAATTTTATAATACTTAAGCTGCATAGTAATTACTTTATAAATTTATTTTTAAAGAGAAAAATGTATATATAAAAAAATTATATTTGAACTCATAAAAAATTATAAGAAGATTTTTATGGTTTAGTTTTTTTCTCTCTCTCTTTTATAAATTTATAGACCAGGTGGATGCGTTGTTGTGCTATTGTTCACCTCAAGCGTAATACCTTATAACTTGTAATAATATCACGTGTTTTGCTACACTCTTAAGAATCACTTGTGTATCACTATTACAAGATAGACGTACTAAAGCCAACCGACTTATCCTTCTATGTAATCTTCCAACTTTTAAAGGATGACAATTATAAATTATTCTTATTATGTCATTTTTATCTCAATTTAGTCCCTCAACAAAGAAATCTCTTATTGAGTGACTTTATTTGGTTTCAATTAATGACTGTATTGATGATTTTATTTGATACTTATCTATATGTATACGGTTATAACTACAATTTTTCCTTAAAAGTGTGATAAACTGAAGCTTTCCTCTCATAACTGACAAACTCGAACTTTTCTATCATAATTGAGAAATTTTAAGATGTCAGGAAATAGAAGATAACAGAAACTTCCATTTGACACCTCCGTCAGATACGGTAGAATCTATGGACCCAACCAGGCTTTGGATCCCAATAACGACACATGGCATCCTGAGACTTTGGTCTTTTTTTTGCGATAAAGGCTAGAAGGATAAGTTAGTTATTTCGATGATTCAAGTATTCAGTGTTAGTTAATTTAAGGATTAATGTTTCATGATGGATCGTCAACTATTTTATTTGTCTTAATTATATTTTTTAACTAAATGTTTTATTAATAGCATCCATCAATGTTAATTTTTAGTCTTAATTGTGATTTGCTTTTTCTGTCTATTTTTTTTAAAAAAAGCAAATTTGTGCAATGAAAAAATAAAAATCCCAAAATATCCCTATGGTAGAAAACCCCGTGATCCTAACTTCAGTTTCAAATCTCCGCTTTCCTAACCCTAATTTTCGTAATTCCAAATCTCGTTTCAAATTTTCCAAGAGACAAGTCGCCGATGCGACAACAACTTGACCGTTTATGCATCACTTTCAGCTTTCAATTCAGGCGACTGAAAGAAAAACAAATTTCTCCTCGACTTCGCTAGCACCCTCGATTTCTTGCCAGGTTTAAAATTCATGGCGGCGTCTGCAGAGATTAGCGACGGAGATCACGATGCGGTGGAGCTGATCGTGTGTCTGTGTTACGCTTCAGCATCAGCAACGGCACCTGATGAAATCAGTGGCGACGGTGCCGTTTCAGACTCAGAGGAGATAACTCCTCTGTTGAAGCCTAAGATCAATATCTTCTCCTTGTCTCACTCCCGCAGAAAGCCTAGAGTATTTTTCACTCTCTATTTCTTTTGTTTCTCATTCTTTCTTTATATTTGTAACCTTCGTTAATTGGTTAGCTTAGTTTGAAATTGTTTTAATTAGTAATTTCTTGGAGATTTATCGACATTTTTTTTTTCAATTTTTGATGTATTTGGATGGTTTAAGTGGAAGTTATACTAAATGCTGGAAATGTGTGTTGTTTATTTTTGACAGAAACTTTCAAACTTTCCCCTCAATTGAATGAGGGCTAGTATAAGAAAACCAACATAGAAAAATACGTGAGGATAAACCAAAAAAAAAAAAAAAAAAACTTCCAGCAATTAGTAATTTTTTTTTTTTTGGCTTATTGAGTTGCGATTTGAAAGAGCTGAAGAAGAAGGCAGAAGAAGCTTGTAAAGATCGCCTCAGACCTTGTGATGTTGATGAAGTAAGAGTTGACTGACGAGAGTATGGTTTTTATGGTGGTCCATAATTAATTTTGGGACATCTTGATGTAGCAATTGCAGGCCTGCAATTCTCTCTGATCTACGGCAGGATGAAGAATGTTTTTGTGATGACTATCTGCAGTGGCGGAGACACTGAAGTAGGCCACTTCTTGCAGGCTCTGTCCACCAGGACATCAGATCCGTACTTCACAGATTTTCAGAGCTCACAAGAGTTGCCATTGACTAAAATCCTTCAACCTAGAGGATAAGGGTTTCCCTATTTAATCCTTCCTTGTCATCTTTTTTCAGGAGATCTCGGGTAAATGCACATGATTCCATGATGATGGTTGTGACTTTTATAATGTTTATTTTCTTCTTACTGTGCTTAGAGGGCTGCGATACAGTTGATTCATAGCATATTTTTATCTTGTTCTATGAGAATTTAAGACTTGATTATGTTACAAATGACTTTTTCCTTGCATAATAGATGGCTGAATAGAATGCACTTGTTGAAATGTGCATTACTGATGGCATTGTAAGTGTTTATTAACTTGATTTAAATTCTTTGGGAAGTTTTTTGATGATATGTATCTTTTTCAGAAAGTTTGGATAATTGATGGGAGTTGCCTTTTACTCTTTTGTGGTATATACTTGGATGTGTGTGGATTCGCATGAATCTCATGTTTTGAAAATGGTTGAACTCTTTCCAATTTGACCTTTATTTTTGTTGAAGGTGTATTGTCTTTGGATTGGTAATATTAAGAAGAAAATGTCTTGCGGACTAAAAGACAAGTCCTAATTGATTGAAGAATACATTAATGGGTTTGTGCTGTAGCTCATGTGGACTAAAAAATGGAGTCTGGATTAATTGAAAAATCAAAGGGTTTGCATTGCTGTTTGTGGGAAAATGCATGCTTGCACAGATGTAGGACTTACAAGGTGAGTGAAAAGAAATTTGAATTGCTGAAGTAGTGACGAGCAGTGGGGGATCATTTGAGGCTCTGTATTCTAGATCAATACTTCACATTGGTATCTTAATATGCTGTTTAAGATTTGCCTCTCATTCTTCTTTATTAAATATGATTTCTCGTTGCCTAATATATTCAGGCAAAATCATTGGCTAAGGCTTACTGAATTATGAATTCCAATAGAAGCAGATAGGCAAGTTGGTGGAAATGGATAGATGGATGGAAATGAGTATGAAAGAGATGAAGATTGATTAAGAGCAGATTTGTTCCAGGAATAAAGCATGGTTGGGAGGATGTATTTTTTGAGATAATAGGAGGGAAAAACAGGAGTAAAAAATAACTTTAGATACTGAAGATCTATCATAAAACTTGTACATATTGGAAGTAGAATTAAGTTAGAATAGAAAAAATGATATATTTGTTGACTGTAATGCTGAGTGGGGATTTTGGTCCAGGGCAAGCTGCATCACAGTTTTACCGAAAGTATGGTCCCAAACTCCCTGCCTAATACTTTAGCAGAAACCAAGCAATGAAGATGAACTAGGTCAATGTTTAATGGCAAAGATTAACCAAAAATTCTAGCATTGATCATTGATTAGCATAAGTCTTAATTAATATTTGAGCAGCTAAAATTGTAAGATTGAATGTTAAGGTTGAATTGGATTGAAATTACTGGAAAATGTCTCTTAGACTATGAGAGAGTGATAATCAGGTCTGAATTAACTGAAGAATACATTGAATGGAAGTTACATATACAGGCACAACTTTAGGTAAAACAAGCTGATTGAATACTATAATATAAAAGGATTTACGGAGTCCAAGGTTGTTTTTCTAGTCACGCTAGCACTAGTCGACCAAGCATCCACTTACCATAGAATTAAACCAATATCCTTCCCCAGTTTGTGACTTTACTGGCTATGGAACCTTGTTCTTGGAACTCAACAAGCATGTAAGGCTTTGATTTTGAGAGATTAAATGGTGGGTTTAAGGTGAATTCTGGGTTAGAAGCTGAAACCAGAAATGTTCTTGTTCAACTTCCTCTTTGGTTTAGGATATTGAAAGAGGAGAGCCTGTAGAGGCTACTGTTAGAGTGGAGAGAAAAGGCTTGTCTGCGGAGAGGAGCACTGCTGCTTTCGGAAATCATGGTGAGGCAGAGAAGAAACAATGGAGCCAGGATTACACCTTGAAACACTTAGGAGCCTAGTACCTGGTACTGACAAGGCTTTTCTTGTTGGGGTTGATTACCTTGAAGTTTGAGTTGAAATAGTTCTTAAAGCATTCTCTCTCTGGTTTTTTTTTTTTTTGAAAAAAAATAAATTATGTTCTTAAACTTTGAAAATAAATTTAGTGAATCATTAGGTAATGCATTTGAAAGTAACTTTATTGCTGATAACTGGAGTTGCTTAATTTTGTTGTTAAGTGTTAGATAATGCTAGCAAGGCTTGTCCTAACTTTGGAATTTATGATTCTCGTTAAGAATATGATATCACAAGTCATGTTCAATGTCAGGTAAATTTTAGAAATATGCATTTTTTTGTTGTTGTGTATTCTGGTTGATGTTATTGCTGTAGGAGCTTGTATTAAAAGAGCAGTGATAATATCTTGAAACTTTGGTTTAAACTTTATAAGAATCTGATTATTTATTTTAGGTTTTTGTGCTACTTTTGTTGGTAAATGTACTTAGAGTTGTTTGGATAAGGATGATTGATTAAGCTATGCTGCTATAGTTTGCTTTGTGATCAGTTCATTCTGTAATTTTCCTTAACATGTATTACCCAAAACATACATCTTACCTGTTATAACTTTCTGGTAATTGATGTCATTACTTCTTCTCGATTGAAATTGATCATAAATCAAGTGCATGCGATATTATTTTAGGACTATTTGATAAACAAAGTCCTGAAATTTATATAAACTTGCATGGTTTTGGAAGAGCCGGATGTTATAATTGTTGTCAATTTTTCCAGCTCATATGCTTGTTGGCTTGGGTTGCTGAATTATTCATTTGAACTTTCACACAGACAATGCATAATTGCTTGCTGAAGTTATTAACCAACATGAAGGCAGCAGAAGCTAACTAAGGTCATCCCATACCATTTAATGTTGATGAAGTAAGAGTTAAACAACAAGAAGATGGTTTGCTGGTGCCCTTTATTTAATTAAGGCTTCTATATGTTGTGATTACCAGTTTGGAATGCTGTCCAATTTAAGACAATCACTTGATGCTCTCCATATGTTAATAATGAGGGCAGGGATTCCTGCATTGGAAGGCAGGGTGAAGAATGTTTTTGTGATAACCAGCTGAAAAGAAGGGCACAGAGATGATACTGAAGTAAACCAATTTCTTACAGGCTCTGTCTACCAGACTATCAAATCCGTACTTGACAAACTTTCTGCCTCAGAAGATTTCTGATTAAAATCCATATTTCAAAGAGGAGGAGAAATGTTGCTCTCGATTCAAACCACCCTTGTCATCTTCTTCAGCAGATCTCTGGTGAGCCTATCATTTTTCAGTGATGGTTGCTAGTTTTATATTGTCCATTATCTCCTTGCCATAGAGGGTGGTCATGCAGTTGATTTGTTGCATATTTTATCAGATGTCTTATGCGGAGATCGGTGAATGTAATATATATACTTTCTGTAATGAGAATTACTGACAGCATAATGTAATAGTAAATGCTTATTTTCTCAATACAATTTCTTCTGGGAAGTTATTTCATCATGCATGGAAGTTGGCTTTAATTAGTCCTTTGTTTGCCTCAGTATGTAAGCAGTTTCATTTAAGAACAAGACTATACAGACAGAAAAATTAAGTCCACTTTTGATGTGAATTCTCTTTTCTGGCTTAGCATTTTAGAGCTCTTTTTTGTTATGTGTGTGTCCTGGAAAATGGTCTAACACTTTCCAATCTCACTTTTTTTTCTTCCAAAGTATATACTCTTTAGCATCCCTATTCACCAGAAGTTATACGTCTCAAATGAAGATTACATCAAAGGGTTTAAACTGCTGGTTGTGGGTAGAATGAAGCTTGAACAGAGCCCTTATAATGAATGAGGCTGGTTAGCAATTTATTCCAAGCAATCCACACAGAGCCATAACAAAAATGCATCAATGGACTAACTCCGAATTAACACATTAAAGGAAACACCTATGATAAAATGAAGCTAACAGACATCATTCGCAGATTGAGCTACTGATGTAAATGCACACTCTCTTTCCAGTTCCGACAGATATTCCAAAAGATTTTCAAGGATGGGAAAGAGGGGCTACAAGTTTCAATCTGCAAGCAGGGCGAAGGCACACAAATTGGTTACTGCAAATTTAAGGCAACATGATCAGTTGCTATCACTTGTCATCTCCTTTGCACATATCTTGATAAATTTGACTAAAATCATTATTAAATTATATTATTTTTTAATTTCCTCCAATATCCTAATGCTAGATTTAATATAAATAGATTATTTTAATAGCATGATTTGATAATATGATTTTTTTTTTCTATAAATACAGTTAACATCAAACAAATTCTAATGCTAAAGATGCTAGGTCTAAAATGGAATGATAGACAGGTAAATTCTAAATATGCTACCAACACAAATAAGATGATAGGTAGGGTATAGGTTAATAATATCAACCGTCTTATTATATGTGAATTTCTTTCCACATGAACCATTGACATATGTCCATGGAAAGGAACTTCCCCATCAACTATTTTCCACCAAAACGCTTTATCTTAATATTGTTTGGTTCTCCCTCCCTTTAACCACAACACACCAATTAGACAAGTTTATTCTATTCAAATGAAAGTTGAAAAACTTGGCATGCTTTTAATATTTATTAATGTGCCTAGCATTCAACGTTTGACCCTTGAATTAACAAAAATCCACTCCACTCCTTCGATTGAATTGGAGAATACCTTGACCTTGAAAAAATAACAATGATGACGTGTTTCAAATTTCTCAATTAATGACCCACCAACCCTGAGATGCAGAGTTTCCTAACCAAATTGTCTAAGGAAAGAAACAAATAGCATAAAAAAGATAAAAGAAAAGAAAACACGAGAGCCCACCTTACGCACTATGTTTTCTTCCGCACTTTTAGAAGGATCTAAATTATTACATGAAATGGGGCAAAAAAGGACATCCAAAAAGTACAACTACAACATCAAATAAGGGATTTTCAGGTATCGATGACCAGACTGGCATAACTCAAGGCACACAAAGCCAACATATGGAAGAACCGAGAGGTCGATGGTAGGTTGCAACTAAGCAGAGACTTCGTTGGCTACAGGAACTAGGTCTGATAATGAGTGTAATTGAAAATACTCAAAACTCCTTTCCAAAATAATAATAATAATAATAATAATAATAATAATACCTGATCATTGTTGGAAATAATCGAATCTCACAAAATTTTATATTGATTCATTGAAAATTGACCGAAAAAGAACTAAAAATAAATAAATAAATAGTCTTTTTTAGTTGGTTAAGAGCTAAATATAAAATTGAAATTAACATTAAATTCGATAAGAAATAAATAAAAGGATACATGAAAAAGTTGTATTTTTTTTATTACTAGAATATTCTACGTTTAAAAGTTTAGATTAATTTCTCATTTTTCGATTAAACGTACAAAACGAATACAACTATCAAAAGAATTTTCTTTACATATAAGGATTTGAATTTAAAACCATTTACTTAAGCGATTACATGTCCTTTTATTTAAGTTAATTTTCGGAATAGGAAGAATCTAAGTTTAATTTATGATTAAAATCATAAAAAAAAAAAAAAAGTTAGAATAGAATTTTTAAAGTCAATTTTTGACTTTAAAGACGGTCTTTAAATTGTAGAAGAATCGGTTTTTAAAGCTGGATTTACAAACCCCGATCGGACATTCAAATCAAATATTATGGCCACGTCAAAGCTACGATGCACTTGGTGGTTGATCGTAGTATCGTTATCTACTACTACCTTTGACCATTTCCTGGATCTTAATCTTGCTTGTAGTTGAACGAGTTTATCAATCCTAAACGGAACCCCGAGATGAATTTATTAATGTATTCAACAAAGCTACGGACATCTATGAGACTTCCATGCCTAAGAATGGAAATGGATCAAATATCTCCCTCTTCTCAAAATGTATTCCACTAGATACAATTCCAAACCACCATAACTATTCTTCAACATAAATAAATAAGAGAGCAACAAATTTCCCTAGTTTATTACTATCTTTCACGTCAACTAGGTGCACGGTTCGATTCTAAGAGAGTAAATTTTTGAAGTATGCATTTATGTATGTGTTTTCTGTTGATGTTGTTGCTTTGTATGGGCATACATTACCGAGAGATAGTTAAAGTATCCTGAACTTGGATTTAACTTCTATTAGAATCGGATAATATTGTAGGTTATTGTCTTGCTTTTACGGTGAATGTACTCGAGTTGTTTAATATGGAATGCTCATTGTCATACCCCAAAATTTTACCTTTTTTATTATTTTAGTTTTCTTTATTTTTCTTTTATGATTTAAATTCATGCTTGCTTTGTATCAAATTAAGAGAGAGAAAAATATTTTCTTTTATTTATTTAGAATTCGAACAAAATTACAAAAACTTACAAAAATAAATAAAATTACAAAAATAACTTGAATTTGACATATAGGGATGCAATTGCATTAATTCAAAGTGTAATTACAATAATTGAGGGTACGATTGATTTACGGGGATTAAACTTACATACAAAAAAAGAGACCCGATTTTAGGAAAACTAGACGACCGAGTCACCCACTCTACCTAGAAGCTGGTTTTTGGGATTTGCTCTCCCAGTTTTCCTAGAACTAGTTTTGGGTTCCAATTTCAATAATTATCCTTCCACGGGAACCAATTTGGTTCCCGGTTTCAACTCCCGATTCCGCGGCAGATCATCGTCCCTCGATATGCGGCTACCCGACTCCTCTCGAGTTAACAATCTCGACACCCTACACTGCCACCACTTTCTGCTGCAAATTCCAACAACTCTGCAGCCTGAACCCCTCTTGCCGGCCACCTGCACAATCCACAATCTTTAGCCTCACTAAGCCAATCTCCAACGGTCTCACCACTGCCACGACCCACGACATTGTCCGATCCGACCCTCCAGCTAACACCCATATCCTGCAGAAAATCTCTCACCATCATAGTGGGGGAAGCCGACACGACATTCATATATATATCCAAAAAAAGGGAGGCTAGAATTGAAGAAAGTAACTAAAAGAAAAAAGAAATTAGTAGCGAAAGAGAGAAAAATTCGAAAGTAACAAGAGAGAAAAGAGAGATCGAATTTACCGGAACTTGAGTTGCATCTCACTTTAATTAGACCCAAATCGACTCCCGGTAATCCCTTTTTAATTTCCCTAATTTTTTTTTGTTGTGAATTTAAATTCGAGTTGAATTTAGGGTTTTTGAATTTGGTTTGAAATCGAGGCTTGGAAAACACTAATTAAGTATAATTAAGGTCAATTAGATTTTTAATTTGGGGTTTAAAACTCGAATTAGTTGAACTAACTTTAATTTAAACCTAGGGTTCTTGATAATTTTTTAACAAATTGATTTAGGGGTTTTGTTAAAATTGGGTCCATTAAGGTTTGAAATAGCTGGATTTCACTAGAAACCAAGCCAATTAGTCCTAATTGAAACAATTTTTTTTAAAATTGAAAAGCTAAGGTTCGGCCAAATTGGGGGAGAATTTTGTGAAATTGATTTGGGGGTCTTTGATTGGGTAAGGAAAGGAAGGAAAGGAAGGGAAATAGGAAGGAAGGAAGGGAAAAATTAGGTGGTCGGCCATGGACGAACCTCCATCTGGTTCGTCCATGACGGTCGCGCCCGTAGGAGAGAAAGAGAGAACGGGAAAGAGAGAGAAAAGAGAAAGGAAAGAAAAGAAGAAAGGGAGAAAGGAAGAGCGAGAAAAGAGGAGGAGAAAAGAAAAAGGAAAGGAAGGAGGGACGAACTGTCTTGGTTTGTCCATGGAGTTTGGGTTTTGGGAAAAGAAGAAGAAGAACAAAGAGAAAAAGAAAGAGTGAAACGAGAGAGAGAGGAGGAAAAAAAGAAATAAGTTATTTTTGATCCAAAACTTTTAAACAAAGGAGAGCTAAGATGTGTTTGTGGGTTGGGTTTTTGCGAAATGGGGTGGATTGTCCAGCCGTTTCAAATTTTTTTAATTTGGACTTGTCACCTTTTTCCACTTGAAAAAAAGAGAGGCTGGATAGTCCAACTCCTTTCCTTCTTCCAAAATTATATTAAAAAAAAAACACAAAAAAGAAGGGAAAAAAAAGAAAAAAATATTTTTTTATTTTATTATGCATGTTGTGTAATTAATTTAGTTAATATAATTTTAATTTTAAGTTTTTTTAAGCATGTTAGTTAATTTATATTAATTTAGAATTTGTTATTGTAATATTTTATGATTATTTTAATTTAACATTGAATTTATTTTATGCATGCTTGTTGTTAATTTAAACTTTAATATTTAATTTTTCTTTACTTAATTAATATAGCTTAATGTATTTGTTTAGTAATTAGGCTTAGTAAATAATGGGTGGAGAATTTGTCAAGTCTCATAATTCTTTAAGGATCGATGATGGTCTTCCACCAAATAAAAATAAAAAGAAAAAAGAAAAGAAAAGAAAAAATATAAAAGAAAATAGGAAAAATGAAAAGAAAAATAATCACAAAACTTCTAACAAAGTCTCCTATATGATAAAGATTGTTGTTAGTCGGGGAAAAAAAAAGAAGAAGAGGAAGAAAAGGAAATTATTTTAATAAAAAAGTGTTTTCCAATACACTTGGTTGTGTCGAAACTCAAACGGTCGATCCGATGTTTGAGCCAGAGCATGGCTCCCAGAACGAAAGAGGTTCGTCGATCGTTTCAATATGATGCCACACTCAAAAGTAAAAAAACTTAATTTGGCTTGAAATAAAGGACTTGGAAAATTGGAGTTTCAAAATTGAAAATGATTTGGCAAAAATACTTTTGGATGTAAATTTAGGACTAAACTAGACATGGTATCTTTTTTAGGAAATGGCGCTTTTGGGTGATTAAATATCTTTCCAAAAGCGTAACCAACTCCTTATCTTAGAATCTACGAACTAGTGCCAATTTTAGGTTCCTAGTTCCTTCGATACTAGGTGATGACTCCAAACTACGTAAATAATTTTGTAAATAAATAAATCTTAAAAAAGAGATTGTTTTTTCGGGAGTCCCATCCAGAGCGTCGGGTAGCGATAGAATGACGACTCCATTTGGGGATATAATGTTAGGCCATAAGTTTAGTCTTTGCAAATTTATTTCCTTTATTTACTTTT